TGAAGGAATGGACACATGGGACCCCAGGTACACCGTATGCTTAGGGGAGGGCCATGGGAGGCTTGTGTGTGAAGAGAGAGCCATAAGGGGACTGTGGGCATGGGGCACACTGAAGGGTGTGGCTAAGCATCAGCTGCAGGGAGCTGCTCTCTGCAGCCAGCCCACATATGGCCAGAAAGCCCTCCTCAAGTGACAGTTGAGTCAGAACAAAAATGAGCCAGCTGTGAGTGACTGAGAACCCCAGGCCATAGGAGCTGAGACAGGACAAAGACTTGCTTCCCTAACAAACTGAAGCAGAGAACACAATCCAGGACCAGCCTTCTGCTTACTACTGAGCAGCCTCCTGCTCTGTCTTGCACCCCCTATGTTTCATGGCTATTGGTGCTCACCCTCTATATTAACATTTCATCAGCCTAAGGCAGGAAAACCGCCATGCCACACCTGACTCTAGTCTGACTGCCCCTCCCAACTTGGACACCAGCCTCACACTCAATCACAGTAGCCACAGCTTGTACCCTGGGGTGGTGCATTCTAGGAGAGGCAAAGATGCTCTCCCAGCATGGCCAGAGGAGAGAAAGGACATTGTGTGCACCAGCCCCAGCCCATGTGGAAGGAGCCTGCCCAATGTCCATCCATGGCACACAGCAAGAGCAGGGGACTGCTGTTCCCTTAGACTTAACACAAGGAAGCTTGGAGAGCTGCAAACGCAGGCGAGCACAGAGCAGAAGGCCACACACAGCATAGGTGAGCTCAGAGCAGCAAGCCCAAAGGATGCGGAAGAGGCTGTGGAGCCAATTACAGAACAGCTGAGCTGGGGGCGGGAGGCGCCAGGATTCTCGTTTCCTGAACACACTCCATTAGGCCCATCTTTTCTTCCTGATTAAATCTCCTCTAAGTGCAGCCTTCCTGAGAGAGAGAGAGAGAGAGAGAGAGAGAGAGAGAAGAAGAAGAAGAAGAAGAAGAAGAAGAAGAAGAAGAAGAAGAAGGGAGGAGGAGGAGGGGGAGGAGGAGGAGAAGAAGGAGGAGGGGAGGAGGAGGAGGAGGAGGAGGAGGAGGAGGAGGAGGAGGAGGAGGGTTCCTAACTTGCAAAGGCCACAAGTGGTATCCTGGGAACGCTGCCTCAGCTCCAAGCCAGAGATGGTGTATGTGGCAGTCCTTCCTGTCATAGTGCTATTTTCAGGCCCCAGCAGTGACCATGGGCCCTGTTCTCTCCCAGCAGTGCCCCCAAGGGGCTTCATGGTGCATCCAAGCACATCTGTGCCCCAGTCAGGGACCTGGACTTCTCCCAGCCATTCTCACTGACCAGTGTAGCTGGAAACTTCTCTGTACCACCCATGGCCTCTGGGTGTCCCTGGGAAATAGGGACAGCCACCCCTGTACCTCAGAGGCTGAAGAGCTGCTATGCCAGTCCCTAGAAAGGATGAAATAACAGAGGGCACTTCAGGTTTTTATTACTTTCCCTGGAGTGTGTGAACAGGGGCACACGTGTGGTCAGAGGCCTTTTTTTAGAAGTCAGTTCTCTTTTTCACTGTGGGTTCTGGGGGTCAAACTCAGGTCATCAAGGTTGTGTAGCAAGCGTTTTAACCACTAACCCATCTCACTGACCAGAGCAAGGACATTTTAGACTAACAAGGGTATTCCTCCAAACTGGCCAGGTCTCCTGTCCTGAGTCACATGGCAAGGAGGAAGGGACAGGTGGCATTCAGGGAAGCTCAGTGTCAGCTATACAGGGCGCCACACTGTGACACTGGGAATGGAGTTGGCAGCGGCCACAGCTAACTCTTGTTTATGAAGTAAACCTCGGCAGAAGTTCAGCCTGTGCTGGCGGGAACCCAGGAGCCGTTTCTGTTTCAAACACCATTCTGCCAGGCTGGCATCTGACCCGGGTGGCTTGGGGATTCTAGACTCCTGCCCGCCCAGTGCTCTAGGGCTGACTCCACAAGCGCTCTGAACAAATGCAGCACTGAGTGTTGGGGACAGCTGGTCGCCAGGTTAGCTGGCCAGTTGCTCTTATGCCCCACCCCCACCCCACATCCCAGCGAACAGTAAGAAAACGCCAAGAGTGGGAGGAGGAGTTCTCCCCTGGGTGGTTAAATTGCGCTGTGGCCGTGCAGTACGAGGAGCTGGCAGCGGGAGGGCTGTGAACTACAGGTGACTGCTACCGCAGGCAGGCGTGCTGCCAGGAGCAACGTGCTAACTGGGAAAGTGCTTCATACAGCCACACCCTGCCAGGGGACTCGCTTACGCATGAGGATTGACACACTAGGTCAGTGGTTCTCAACCTTCCTAAAGCCGAGCCTTTTTAATGCACTTCCCCATGTTGTGATGACCCCAACCATAAAATTAATTTGGTGCTACTCCATAACTGTAAATTTGTTGTGAATTGTTATGTAAATATCTGATATACAGGGTATCTGATATTCGAGCCCCTCCCCCATGGGGGTCACGACCCACAGGTTGAGAACCACTGCACTAAACAGAGACCCACAGAATGACTGGGTCACAGGTCATTTCCTCCACCCTCATGAGCTAAAGATTCAGATTGGGGGAGTGGGGTAGGAGTTATGCAGGAAACATCTGAAGTATCAGGCAAAACCATAAACCTGGACTAGAGGAATCTGCTACAGCTACAGCTACAAGAAGGTCAGGCTGCTCACCAGAATAATGGCAACCTCACATTCTCTCTAAGCCTCACTCGCCTCCCCCAGACCAGAACAAACGTGGCCAGATTCAACACTGAGAATGTGGAGATGTCCTCAGGGCAAGAAAACAACATGGCTGTCAGAAACAGATTTAGAGGAAAAGTGCAGTTGAAATCACCAGAAGGAGCCCAAAGTGTTGGCATACGCCTTTAATCCCAGCAATCAGGAGGGAGAGGCAAGACGATCTCTGAGTTCGAGGCCAGCCTGGTCTATAGAGTTCCAGAACAGCCAGGGCTACACAGAGAAACCCTGCCTTTTAAACTCAAATAAATAAACAAGCTCCTGTGATTAGTATGTTTATCGCCATCAAGGAAAAAAAAACAAAGTATGCAAGGCAGATGGAGAGGTCTATAGGCAAACATGAAAGTGACTATCAAGATGAAATGCCCCAAGTTAAAATTCCACTGCGGTACAGAGGCCTCTGAGAGCCACTGAGACTCCAGGCAGCCAGCGAAAGAGTGGGTAGCTCCTGCTGGGAAGCTGACTGAAACAAAGAGAAGAGAAGATGCTACAAGAGCACCCAGGAGTGGGCGCTGTAAGGCAGCTATGAAAGAGGAAGCAGTGTGAACTTGGGAAGAGGCTGCAAAATGCGTGCGCGTGCATGTGCATGTGCATGTGCGTATGCGTGTGCGTGTGTGTGTGTGTGTGTGTGTGTGTGTGTGTAAAAACAATAAAGGATGAGTGGGCCAGTGAGCAGCTCAACTGGTAGATACTTGAAGCCTGAGGACCTGAACTGATCACCAGAAGGGGCACTGTGGAAGAGAAAACCAACTCCTGCACATTGTCCTCCAATTCCACAATAAGCTCCAGCATGGGCTCTGTGTCTTTATCTCTCTCAATGTAATTTTTAAAATAAACATAGGAGCTAGAGAGATGGCTCAGTGCCTAAGGGCACTTTCTGCTTTTGCAGAGGACTGGTGTTGGATTCCTAGTACCCACATAGTGTCCTACAACCATTTGTAACTCCAGTTCCAGGAGATCAATGTCCTCTTCTGGCCTTCTTGGGTACTGAACACACATGGTGCACAGACATACATGCAAACCAAAAACCTATATACATAAAAAAATTTAAATAATATCTTTTAAATTAAAATGGGTGAAATAAATGGAAATGATCAAGAACTTCCCAACACATCAGCCACAGATACAGGAAACCTGAATAGAACAATACATACACACACTCAGAAAGTCAAACAAGACATGTCATTCGAACTGTACAAATCCCAAGTAAACTCCTTAAGTCAGAAGGCAGGGGAGCCCAGCTTACCCACAAGGCATCAGGAATAGCATCACAAAGAGAATTCTTCCCACTCTGCCCAGAAAGGTGGAGGTGGGTAATATTTGAGCAATTGAAAGATGAAAACACACAGGTGTTTGTTTATAAGATTCTAGCAAAAGCATCCTAGGAAGAAAAAGAGAATAAAGTCTGTCGCAGACAAGCTGACTGGGGAACCCACACTCAGCATGCCTTCCTCACAGGAAATGGTGGGTTTCTTCAGAAATAAGAAAGTGCATAGATCAGATTGACCCATTAGTGGCCAGCATCTGTGCTTACGTGTTTCCTGCCCACAGGAAGTCTTGCGTCCACACTGTATATGTCCCCTACTTTTTGGTCTGTCACACCCATTGCATATATGCTTCCCCCTGCCAGTCACTCAGCAGCCTTGATCATGAGATCAACTGTGATTGGTTCAGATAATGCTCATCTAGGAGGCTAAGGCCATGTTAGGATACCCAGGTCATCAACAGGCTTCGTTTGGTCTCACAGCCATTTTGTCACCTCACACCCTCCCAGGAAGAAAACACAAATGTGGTGCATTAAGAGACAGATCAGAGTCACACCTCTTCTGACGCTGTTATGGTTGTTTGATCATTGCTGCTGCTATCAATCTCTTACTGTGACTGTAACTCACAACCCATTGGCCGATGAGTGACTACAGTTCAGCAGGCTGGACCTACAGTAGAGCGAGGCCGGTGGAATCAAACATCCACTAGGTTGCACATCAGCCAAACCCTCAGGTATTAACTCAACACAAGTCTGCCACCGAGAGCTAATTTTAGCAGAATAAAGCAGACCTGTGCTGCAGCCAATGAGGAAATGCATTTGGAAGGACTGTTTGACTGCAGCAAACAGCCTAGGAGGACCCAAGCCAGAGATTCCCCTCTGTCGTCCCCTTCCTTCCCAAGCCGGCTGTTTGCCCCAGGATGCTCACCCCCACCCCTGTGCTGAAACTTTGGTGACACCACCCTGCTCAGGTGCCACCAACCAGATTGTGAAGTGCGACACTCTAGTTAAGGACATTAAGAGTTTATTTCATCAAAATCACAACATGTCTTCACTATAGCAGCAACTCATCATGTTCCCTCTGCTGTAAACTACTCACACACACCATTATTTCTAATTTATGTGGGGCCAAATTACACAGAGATAATAAACAATTGCGGGAGCAAAGTAGGTAGCCTATAAATAAACACACACTTTCACTCACTGGAAATGGGAAGCCGAGATAGGTTTTGCGCTTGACTTTTCTTAGTATGTCAGCTACATAAGAGTGAGTATTACAAAAAGCCAGCAACTGAATCCCATCAGGAATGAAGACACTCCTGGCATGCCTTGCCTTAGTGGGAGCCCAGCATACATGGGAGGGATACAGTGTTCTCACTACTGGGAGCTCAGCAGAGCTGGCCTGACCCTAGGTCACTGGTGTCTGGCTTGAGGAATGGTGAGATGCTGAGCAGTGACCACGCACATTCTAGAGACAGGACTTGTCACCAAACACAGAGTCTCAGCATGGCCTCACCCTGCACTGGCCAAAGCGGCTGCAGGAGGGTGAGTCACAGGGGCCCATTTGGCTAATAAGATTTAAGATCTGGCTTGGACAGAACAAAGTCTGTTCCTATGCATGCAAGGGCCTGTCACTTAGGGGCTGGGATGTGGCTCAGTGTGGAGTGCTTGCCTACCTGTGCCAGGCCCTGGCTCTATTTCATTACAGTGGAGAAAAGAAAAGACAAAAAAAAAAAAAAATCCATAGAACTAAATGGAAACATATCCTAAAGCCAAGTAAGTGTGGATAAGAAGGGGCTCGAGAATGTCATGGGAAGTGAGGGGTTTCCAGTATCTGGGCTACACATGTCACAGACACAGGTTCCTGCACACTAGTTGGCTCTTCACAGCCTGCTCCATAACTCTCTGTGATCCCCACTCACATGAGGACCTTGTTCACAGGCAGTTGTCACAATGACTGAACTTCCCAGGGCTGAGTCTGATTCTGTCCATTCACACCAACCCAAGAGCCTCCAGTGGCCACCCTGCCCAGCACCGGGGACTTGCCTCCATAGCGTGGTTGGTCTGGTATGTGACATGGGATGAGGGACATCAGATGTCTAAGCTGTCTAGTGCCTCATTGGCTCTTACACCGAGGTGGCATGTCTAAGCAATACGAGAGCAGACCCTAGGGGTAGCTACACCCCAGAAAACCAGGAGATGCGGGAGAAGGGGGACCCATCAGGGGAGTGCAGCCCTAGAGGAGGCAGCAATGGACAGTAGAGACGCTCATGTCTGAAAAGGGCATTCTAAGGCTGACTTTAGGTCCAGTGAGGCTCAGCTTACAAGGAACAGACTGAGTCAGTCCCCATGCAGTGGCTCCTTAAGGCTGTCTTCACAAAGCTCCATCTACGAGTTAGTGGGTGACTCCAGACAGGCAAAGGCAGAGACCCCAGAACTGGTTGTACAGCTAGGGGATGTGGTGTCTCAATCAGTGTCCCCTTACAGAGACGACGTGCATTCCAACTGATGCTGGCCTCATTCCCCCCCACATAACTCAGCTTCCTCCATTGACCTTGAGCATCTCTCAAGACTCCAAGTTTCCATCAAGGCTGAGGCTTTGCCCTCTTGTATCTGCATCCTAACATCTCATTTACCACAGCCTAGCTGGCACGGTGCTCTGTGCACTGGAAACAAGGGAGGTTCACACTTAGTGTTGCCATAAGCTACATTGTGCCCTGGTGCCCACCATGCCAGGGAAGGAGGGCCACGCCATCGCTGGCCACACAACCCTGAGTCAACTTGCAGTGCGAGGCAGGACATTCTACGCAGTCATTGGTAGGGGCCGTTATCCCATGTTGAGGCAGCAGGGAGGAGAGGAACCCACGATGGAGGCAGGGTGTACATTTTTTTTCTCTGCTTCAGGGAAGGCACTTGTTTTGAGTGGTAGCCTCTCTGGTCACACGGCGGATAGGTCCACACGGTGGGCAGAATGGCTGCTCTTATCCCATGGGCTTAACTTGGTAGATACGGTGCCTGGCCGTGTCCCATTGACCTACAAAACACAAAGTGAGGTGTGAAGACAGTTTCGAGGGGTAGAACTCATTTCATGTGAGTGCTTTGGGCCTGGGCCATGTGAGGATCCAGGACCCCACATCTGAGACAGAAGGCTCTGGACACCCAGAGTCCATACCAGAGAACCCTGTGCAGGTTCCTACTCAACCAAGCCCAGGCTCTTAGCTCATCACCAGTCAGGTGAGCACTCTTCATGGAACATGCCACATACCAGGGACTTACAGGGCTGTTAGACAAAGCCAGGCTTCATCTTTGTTCTCATGAGCTGTTTATCCCCACGAAGGGGACAGGCAATAGCCATTAGGCAAACAGCTGAGGTGGCAGTTTGACCATGAATCAGTGACATTGGGGAAAAAAAAAAAAAAACAAAACACTAGAGCAGTGGTTCTCAACCTGTGGGTCAAGACCCCTTTGTGGGTCAGATAGGCTGGATATCAGATATTTACACCATGATTCATAACAGTAGCAAAATTATAGTTCTGGAGTAGCAACAAGAATAACTTTCTGGTTGGGGTCACCACAACATGAGAAACTGTATTAAAGGGTCGCAGTATTGGGAAGGTTGAGGACCACTGCTCTAGAGCAAGGGGTTAGCACATAAGTAGCCTACGTCGCATGCTAGGCCCTTCCAGCAGCCTGGAGAAGAGGGAGCTGTGGGGGCTCTGTGTTTAAACAATGGCTTGCAGTAGCATGCATCCTCTATCAATCAGAAGCTATGTCTACCTGAGAAGCAGGCTTGCAGCCAGGTTGACGGCCACAGTAACCAGATCCCTGAGGATGGTGAGGGGAAGGAGGAAGGCATTTGGAATTGGTTTGGTGAAGCAAAGGCAAGGGCCTCAAGAAGACATGTCACAGTGTACTCACGGTGTCTGAACTGAAGGGCTTTGTGTTTGCAGTACGGGCAGAGCTGCTCGTGAGGGACCAGACCTTGGTCTTGTGCTTGAAGGCAGCTCTCACCTTCAAAGGCAAAAGAAAGAGCCTTAGAGGGAACTCCAGAAGTTGACAGAGCAAACTCTCAGGGGTCACTGCCAATACCCTCTAGACCAGTGGTTCTCAAACTTGCCAGTGCTGCCACCCTTCCATACAGTGCTTCATGTTGTGGCGACCCCAGCCATAAAACTATGATTGCTACTCCATACCTATGATTTTGCTACCATTATGAATCATAACATAAATATCTATGTTTTCTGATGGTCTCAGGGACCCCTTTGAAAGGCTCATTTTACTCCCAAAGGGGTCATGATCCACAGGTTGAGAACCACTGTTCTAGAGACTTGCTGTGATGTGAGCCTCAAGCACCCAAAGTAAGGGCAGGGCATGAAAGCTGGTACCAATGTCCACGTCAGAGTGGTTCTCAAACAAAGTCTGACAAGGATGTACGACCCTGGACAATGCCACCCTTCTCTCTGCGCCCTTATGGACGAAAAAGCTACTTGGGATGGACATACCTCTGAGTTCAGGAGACAGTGAAAGAGGAAGATGAAGAGGCCCTGAGAAGGAAGAGAGAGAGCATATCAAAGCCGCACATTGATACAAAGTCCCTCCATCACACGTGCACAGTGTGGGCACAGCTCATGGGAGTTTGCTGTGACCTGGAGCCTGAGGTCCACAGCCCCACTGAAGGGGGATTTTGAGATGGCTCAATTCAAGGAAGGGCAAAGACCATAACCATCACGGCAACTTCTAAGCAGAGGACACCAGGCTCCATCTTAACTGGGCTTTGATGTTCATACCCAGCAGGGATGGCGGGAGCCGACAGTGTTGCCTACCTATTGGCCTGCGGGTTCTTCTTACCTGCAAGGAGTTGAGTACAGCAAACATGTACTGAAAGACCAGGGCTCGGTCACTGACAGCAAGCACCCCAAACACCCATGAGGTTCCCAGGATGGGTAGCAACACAGCAACAGCCTTGGCTGTCAACCTGGAACAAAGACAGTGATACTCATGTTGACAGTGGGCAGGAAAACCAGTCCAGGGTGGACACTTGAGGGCATAGAGGACAGTGCCTCCCATGGTGGATCTGCTGGCATCAACCTGCTATTCTAGGGTACACTTATCTCTGAGGCCAAACAGGGCCAGCACTTGGTGGCATTTCTGCAGGAAGAGGTAGCGGATGAAGGCGCCTCCTGGCTGGGCTCTGGGAGAGGTGGTGGGTAGAAGGTGGTGATAGGAGTATAGATATGGTAGGCACGGTGGCAGCCTTGGTTCTGCAGATGCCAAGAGATAGGATAGTGAGATAGGAGTGAAAGCCTTGGCTGGGTATGAGAGCTGGAGACGGACCAGCAACCATGACCACTGAAGGCCATAGGTCTGAGGGTAGAGTGAAGAAGAAAAGGCCCCTCATGGTCAGTCCACAGTAAGCAGGGGACAGACCTAGGCTCCCCCACCCCTCAGATGGAAGATGAATGGAAATGTCCCTGACCCCCATGAGCCTACTTCCTCACCCAGGTACAGCCTAGAAGGTTCCAGGGGCAGAAAAAGCTCAAGTGATCTGCCTCTGCTTGTCAAGTTAATTTACTCGGTTTAGAATAATTACCTCATCGATTTGCTGTTGCCTGTTCATAGTTTTTGCTTGACACTCTATTTTTAAAGTCGCTTTCAGGTTGCCAGCAGCCCTGATATCCTAACAGTTTCTACAAGAGCCCCCCAGTCACCTGTGTGTGAGTCCTCAGCCTTGATCCTAGGGTGCAGCGTGCTTACCATTCTCTATGGTCAGGGAGGGCTACGAGTCTTGGGTGCACAAGTCTCAAGAGCAAATCCCACTCTGTTAGGCATAAGGCCTACCCCATAGTCCTACCCCAACCCTCCTGTACAGGAAGGATTTGGGCATGAAGCCTATGCAGAGGAGGGGACTACAATATGGGAACTGAGTCCAGGAGACTGTATCTTCATGTATGGGGTATCTTCCAGGCTCAGGACTTCATGCTCACTGTGCTTCCTTCTGCCATATCCATTTGCCATTGGCAGGCCCCAATGATAAACACCAGGAACCCAGGAAGCCTCAAGTGGCATGTCAGCCCCATAGAGTGTGGGGTTCTTCCAAAGACCTCTTCTCCCAAGTGGCAGCCCAGCATGGAACACTCTACTTGCTAGAATGTTCCCTCACATGGCATTCCGTAAGGTTCCTGTTATCCCCTTTGCACTGGGAAGGAAGTAAAGGGCAGAGGAGCCCATTGCTGCAGAAACTAGAAGTCATATCTTCCTGTATGGAGACTTTATCACCTTTCCCTCCACCTGTCTCTGTTACTTTGAGAGAAGGGAAAGGGGAGAGGAGTCGGGGCCTGGAGAAGGGACAGAGGATGTAGACAGGCAGGCAGAAGGATGGGGACAGAGTCACGAGGGCAGAGAAGGACAGAGAGAGGCAGAGAGAAAGAGAGCTCTAGAGAGAGAGGAGTAAGAGAAAGAGTGGGATGGTGGGCAGGTTCTCTTTACCTGGCACACACCTGGTGAGCACCTGCTGGTGGCAAACTTGAAGCAAGCTATTGGAATAACATTCATCCCTTTTTCTTTGATTAAAAAATGAGGAGCTAGGAAGGGGTCTCGAGGTGGGAATGAGGGCGTTGGACTCAAGTTAAAGTATATAATGCAGGTTCATTGGAAGCAGCTCTTGGCCACATGGAAGGAGAGATAGATAGATAGATAGATAGATAGATAGATAGATAGATAGATAGA